GGGGGAGCGGGGCTCTCCTGGGTCCGGCGCCGGCCCCGCCCCCCCCCCCCGCCCGCCCGCTCGCCCCCTGTTCATTGTTCCCGGGCCGCAGCCGCCCCTCCCCCGCTTCCCTCCGCTTCCCCTCTCCGCCTCCCCCTCCTCCTCCTCCGGCCGCCTCCCCCCTGCCGCCCCCCCGGATCTCACCCAGCTCCCAGGGGGCTAGCGGGGCCCCAGACCCCGGGACCCCTGCGGGGCCGGGGCTTGCAGCAGCCAGCAGCGCGTGTCCGGCCCTGGGAGTGTCCGCAAGTGGAGCCGGAGCGGGGCCACCCGAGGGGGCCGGCGTGTCCGTACTGGGGGCAGCCGAGGGGCCCAGCCGGACCAACTTTGGCCGGAGGTCCGAGCGGGCTCCGGGGGGCAGTCCAGGGCCTGGGCAGGGCGGCGTGCAGGCTGGCAGCCAGCCGTCGGTCTGTCTGTCTGCCTCCCTCCCTCCGTGGGTCCGTTAGTCCCTGGGCGCTGAGCCGGGTCGGGACGGGGGGCGGCGGCGGCGCCACATCTGGGGAGGGGGGTCGGCTCCAGCTGTGGGCCGGGAGGAGGGGACAAGGAGCGCAGGCAGGCAGGCAGGCAGGGGGGCCTGGCTCCTCCCCGCCCCCTCCCCTCCATCCCCGCCCCCTCCCGCCCAGACATCCTGTTCCCGCCTGCTGGGGACTCGGGAGAGGGTGGGGTTAAACCTAGCCGGACCACCAAGAGTTAACATGCCTCATGAATATTCAGGAAGGGAGACCTCGCCCACTACCCCAGTCTGGGCCAAGTCCAGCCTGGAGGGGGCCAGCCGGGCCCCTTCACCCGCCCCCTTTCCCTGGCTGTAGGGCAGCCCCAAGCTGGACTGGAGGTGGGGGTCGCTGGAAGGCGGAGGATCGGGACGCCTGTCTCCCTCCTCCCTCTAACAGCTGGAAAAGCTTCCCTTTTATAGCCCGGGGCCCCCGGAGCGAGAGCGTGGGAACTGGAGGAGGAGGGGCTTGGGGCTCCCCCCCCTTCTGATGCCCAGTTACCAGCCCTGGGTCACTGAACAGATCTGGTCTGAGTTTGCCTAGTGTGGGCAACCTCGGAGTCCGCTTTTCTGGAGCCTTATCCCATCCGGCTGGATCCCTCCCGAACATCTCCCTCTGGTCTCTTTCTTTGCCCTTCTTAGATGTCTCTATTTCATCCATCTCCGTCAGCCTCTACAAAGATTTCTTTTTCTTTCTTCCGATAGCTGCTTGGGGCACTTTAAGGTTAAGTGACTTGCCCAGGATCACCCTTCCCCTATTTGGGAGAGGCTGGGCTTGAACCCAGGTTTTCTAAGAATTTGAGTTTTAGAACAGTTGACGATTTGCTTCCTGCGCCAGAGACTACAGGTCCAGGACCCAAACCAGCTTTAATATATTAAACGTCTACTACGGGCCGGGCGCTGTGTCATTCTTGGGCCTTAGAATTCCTAGTGTCCTTCACAACTCAAGGATTCCTCGCGGCTACTGCTTTCCTGACTCCCCCATCACCTGGCATTTATTTTGGACGGCTGGTAAGCTCTCTGAGAGCTTGATAATGGACTGATTGAAGAATCCCCTGATCCCTCCAAATTCGAGTCTTCCCTGTTTGTTCCTTCTTCTTTATCCTGGCTGTAGCTTTTCTGTGCATATTGGTTGGCTGCTTGTCTCCAAGAAGATTGTAAGCTTCTCGAGGGCAGGGACTTGTTGCCTTTCTTTGTAACCGTACTACTTAGCTCAGTGCCCGGCGCGTAGTAGTATTGACCGACTGTGATTCTACAAAGATATGACACTACATAATGTAAGAAGAATTGTCCCGGCTCACCCCGAGCTCACGTTCTGGGGGGTGTGGAGAACTAAATGTCACTAGATAAGAAAGGACAAAGTAATCGCTTAGATAGGTAAGGAACAATTCGGAGCTGAGGTCGCCGCTGGGGCAGGAAAGAGAAGTTTCCGGTTTCATCTCAGTAATTTACACAAAACCCTCCTTCATTAATTCCATTCATTCAACTTGCAGCCCGTAACAAATCACGAAGTACCGAGGGCTCCAGGCTAGGTGTTGGGGGTAACAACTCCAGTCGAAACCCTCAAGGAGTCTGCATTCTAATAGCAATGACCCGAGCAAGAATGTCTCACTTATTCAAAAGTAATGCTCAGTAATTGGGAGGGGGGAGGGGGTTGGGGGGGAGCATCTGAGTCTAGAACTCAGCTGTTTCGTTTCCTTCAGATTCAGAGGACCGGCATCCCAAATTGTGCCCGGGGCCCCACGTGGCGGTTGCCCAATTCTCGGGGAGTGCGGGACAACAGCACAGATAAGGAGAAAGAGTGTTCCCAAGGGCCCCTGTCTAGGGGAGGTCTGGGGGCAACCTGCCTCCAAGCAACCCGAAACTCCTATTTAGTTGTCAGCCGGCAGGATGAAGGGTACCCGAATACCCAGTTTTGTCCCATAACTTCGAAATCCCAACACGAGTTCTCGCTCCCGACCCCCGTCCCCGGTTTGCTTCAGCCAATGGGGACAGAGCGTCGAAGAGCGTTTTTCTCATTGGCCGACAGAGGGCAGGGGTGATCTGTAATATGGGCAACGGGAAAGTGGACGGGGGTGGGTGGGGATGCGCATGCGCCGGAAGAACTCCAGAGCGCGCCGGTGAAGCATCAGGAGAGGAATCTAAAGGAAGTCACGTGTGGCGTTACGCAGGCGCAAAGAACGGGAGATGAACGGGGAGGGAAGAGAGAGAACCGGGAGAGAAAGGCTGTCACGTGGGTAAGCCTGAAGGGGCCCGCTCCGCGGCACCGCGGCCGAGGCTCCAGTGGCGCAATCGGTTAGCGCGCGGTACTTATACAGCAGTGCGGCCGTAGCGATGCCGAGGTTGTGAGTTCGATCCTCACCTGGAGCACAGATTTTTTTCCTTTCCACTTTGTAACTGAAATTTAAAAGCGAATTCCGATCCCGGCTCGGCGTGAATGCGCACCCTCACTCCTGTGCTCCCCAGGCTCCCGGGATCCTGCGGGCTGGACTGCCATTCCCCGCAGCGGCCGTGAGGGGGAAGCCGCGGCCTTCGCCTCCCGCTCTGTGCCCGCCTTCCTCCTTCGGTTCCCGGGGGCGCGGACCAGGGTTCTTCCTCCGTCGGCCCCCCACCCCTGCCGTCTCTGTGGCTGGCTCCCTGCGGGTCTCTCGCCTGCCTGCCTCTAGCCCCCCTCGGCCGTTATTTCTTATCCCCTCGCATCACATGGCCGAGCTCTTTCTAGATCCCTGCGTCTCTGGGGCTCCCTTCCCTCCCCCTCCGGTTTCCCAGAAGAAGAGGCCGAAGGTCAGAGGAGGCCCCGGGAAGGGTCCCGACTTGAGCCTCCCAGCTGAACGGGGCGGGGCCCTCAGGCGTTGACGCAAGGCCCCGCCCCCGGGGAGGCCTCCTGGCCTTATACGGGCATCGGAGGCTGAGGCTGCCCCGGGAGCGGAGGGCCCCCCCCTTCCTTTTCCTTCCCCAGTCGGGGCGGGGTCTCCGGGGCACACGCGAGCACAAACACACACGCATCCACCGCGTCACTGACACGTAGCCTCCCGCCCAGCCCGGGCCGGGGCACATTCCGTCCCCCATTCCCCCTCCCCGCCCCCTCCTCCTTCCCCAGTGGCCTGCGAGACGGAAACTTCCCGACCCCACCCACGGCCTCGGAGAGCGAAGAGGACGGGCCGCCCTCTGCTGACCGCCCCCACCGAGCTGTTGTGGGGTTAGACTGTGAGCCCCTTGAGGGTAGGCGCTGTCTGCCTTTCTTTGGAGCCCCAGCGTTTAGTTAGCGCAGGGCCTTGGGGGGCAGTAGGCGCTTCATCAATGTCTACTGACTGATGGGGAAGGGAGAAAACTCCTCTCAGGCACAAGGAAGTAGAGGCACAGACTGACAGGGAGAGAAGAGAGTTACAGGAAAGGGAACAAGCATTTATTAAAAGCCTACTGTGTGCCGGGCACTGTGCTAACCGCTTTACAGATATCTCATTTGATAGTGAGGTTCCTGAATCACCGGGAGGGAAGGAGCAGAGGCACTGATTCCCCACAAGCAGACACGAGGAGCCTGTTGGGATCTCTAGGACACCCAGGGAGACGCTGCTGAGAGTCAGGAGGGAGAGAAAGTCAGGCACCCCTCAGAGAAAGAGACACCTCCCTCCACCACCACCCAGAGATAGACTTGGATGAGAGATGAAAGAGGGGTTGGGGGTGAAAACGCGTTGCAACTTGTAGAGGGAGGGAGGCTGGTAGAGATAGAGACAAGGGGGGAGATGGGAACAGGAAATATGGTGGAAGGGATGGGGATTGTGGAGAGGGTCCCTGAGCCCTTCCCACCTCAGGACCCAGCTAGCAGAGCAGAGTGGCTGAACCCGTCTAACTCCTGAGCTTCTGGAATTAAGACTGCAGTCGATCCCTTTCCCCACCCCCAGTCTTTCCTTGGTGACCTCACCCAGGCCACCTCCTCAGGTGAGAAGGGTGCCCTCCCTTCCTTGGTGAGTTCACCTGGAACCGCCCTACCCTGGGGCCAGAGGAGTCAGGAACCAGCTAGACCGGCCCCCTAGGTCCCAGGACAGCCCTCCCCACCCCGAACCCCAGGAGACAGACCCGAAGACAACCTTTCACACATAAGATTCCTCTTTTGTGTAATGTATTAGTTTTAATTAAAAAACAAACTCCACCAAAAACAAAAATAGAGATTTCTTTTTTGTTTAGCTAACTATATATATATATATATATATATAACATTTCAAATATATATTATAGTGGCAGCAATCTCCCAATATTAGACAAAAGGGAGAGAGGACGACTGCATATATAAATACTATAAAACCCGTCGGAATAAATAATGTCGTCACCATAAATAAGGGGCCCCGAGGTGAGGCAGGGAGACTTGGATTTGGTCTGGTTAGGTGGGGTTTGAGCACCAGGACTGGGGAGACCCCCTTCCAGGGGAGACTTGGGGAAGCCTGTTCACAGCATGAAGAAAGGGGGGTATCTTCTATTCTGACCCCCCCCCCTTAAACAAGGTGTCTCAAAGACAGTACAGTTTTAACTTAGTAATGCTTACAACTGAATTAAGACTGTTGGGACACGCTGTACACATATATATGCGTGTGTATGTCAATTCAGTATGCTACATTTAAAAAAAAAAACACAACACTCCCAGAACACCTCTTTGAGAGTTTTTGCTCCCCATAGGGACCTGCCCCAGGAGACTAGGCAAGAGGTGAATGAATGCTCTGGGGGCTAAGCAGATGAGGGACCTCCACATCTGGGCACAGCTGGCAACGGGAGGGGAGAGGAACTTCCTGATCCCCAACTCAACCAAGTTTGGAGGAACAGGGGTGTTCAGTCGGACACAGAGAGTCGGTTGAAGATGGGGAGTCGCCGGGGAGTAGCCGGGGCCAGGAGGTGAGAGTTAGAGGAGGCAAAGGCGCCCCCCATTGCTACCTCAAACACTGGGGAGTCGGACCCCCCCAGGCTGCTTCCCCCACTGCTGGCCTGGTCATCTGGCTCAGAGCCCAGGGAGTGAGCAGAGGGGCTTCGGGCTAGCCCCAGGCTCAGGCCCAGGCTCAGGGCATCCCTTGTGGGCCCCCAAGTGCCCGTGGTCTGGCGGCAGGAGGGGCAGCAGGCTTCTCCCGCCGTGGCTCCCCGGGGCACTGGGCCAGGGGCAGCAGAGAAGGCAGAGGGTGAGAAAGGGACCTCCCCGGGGGCAGTGGACAGTGGAGGCGGAGAGGAAGGAGGGGAGAAGAAGCCCGAAGGGGAAGGCAGGTCCGGCAGGCCTGGAGGGCTCAGGGTGGGAGAGCCCCGGCGACCGGAGGAGGGGATCCCAGAGAAGCTGAGACTCTGGCGGAGCAGGGGCGGGTGACCAGATGCCACCGGCAGGAGGTCGTATGGGTAGTGGATGAAGTGACAACGGGTCCCATACGGGCAAGAGCCCATGGTTAAGAATTTGCGGCACAGCTCCGTCTTGTACTTGGGATGGCGGCTGGCTGGCCGCAGCTCTCCAGGCCCGTGGGCGAACTGGCATTTGGAGCCGTAGCGGCACTTGCCACTCTCCGAGAAGGTCCGGCACAGCTCCGTCTTGTATCTGGACGAGGAGGCCGCCCCAGCCGAGGAGGCGGAACCGGGAGCGACTTCCGAGGGCGCGGCGGTGGCGGCCGGCAGGGCCCTGGGCGGCAGGGGCTCAAAGCCCGGTGGCGGGGGTACCCAGGCGCGGCCCTCCACTAAGCTGGTAGAACGACCCGGGAGCCGGGGGGTCAGGGGGGCCGAGGCCCGCGGCGGAGAAGGAGGCTCCAGGTCTGCGAGGCTTGGACTCCAGGGGCTTCGAGAGCCCCAGCCCAGCTCGGGGTCCAGTTCCCCACGGGCCGCCGACGTCGGCTCCGGGCCCAGAGACAGGAGCTTCTGTTAGGAAGGAGAAGGGTAAGGAGAGGCGGATCAGGGAGGGACCGACCGTCGGACCTAAGGTCGCGGCGCTGCGCCGAGCAGACCAACCCCACCCAACTGCACTTCTTGCCCCTGGATAGTCCCTGGGAGCTAAAGCGTCGGTCCAGGCTCTAGAGAACTCCCCCCAAACTCAGCCCCACCCTAAAATGGGGGGGGGTGCGGGCCAGGACCCAGGCGTCAGTCTCCCAGTCTCTTTGCCCCTACCTGACTCCACCCTAAGGCGGCTCAGAAACTGGATTTGTAAGTTTCCCCCAATAACCCAGCAACTTAAAGAACCCCAGTTCCTAGTCCAAAAACACCCCCAGCACGCGCGCGCGCGCACACACGCACACACACGCGCACACACACACACACACCCGCCCTAAGGAAGCAGCCCCCCCCCCCGCCCAAGCCTTGGGTTCCCCATCCTGGAGGGACCCTTCTCTGATCCCAGGGGGAACTCCAATTTCCGAGTCTGTCAACCTATCTGCACTCAAGAATGCCCTGTGGGACCCCCAGTGACCGAGTCCCCAACCGAAGAAGTGCTGGGCAAAAGGGGGAACCGCCAAAGTCTCTGCCACTGCTCTCCCAACTCGACCTCAGGCGGAGGTGGCCGACGCCTCAGTTCGCTCGCTCCAGAGAGGTGAGGAAGCATGTAGAGGTGGGTCGGGGAGGAGGGGGCAGCTCACCTCGTAGAGGGCGCACAGATCCATGCCGGCGGTCTCGGGCTTCCCGCCTGCAGTGGCGCTTCTGTCCATCCCGGCGGATGCTTTCCCTGTGCGTGTATCCAGGACTGTGGGGAGGGTGGCCAGGGCGCTGTTCTTGAAGGACTGCTTGGGGGCGGGGCCTCTCGGTGCCGCCCAGAACCCACCCCCGGGGGAGCTCCAGGCGCTAGAGAGAGAGAAGGGGGGGGACGGACCGGGAAAGGGCGGGGACTAGGGAGGACTCGGGGGAGGGGCGATTCCCGGACTGAGTGCCCCCGGGCGGGGCGGGGGAGGCCCAGCACCTTAGTTTGGGAGAAAAGTTGGCCTTGAGAGGTCCCCCAGTCTTTGGATCAGATTCAAGCCCCTCCTTTTCCCTAAGTGGCAAGCTGAAGACACAGAGTCAAGTAAGACCTGAAAGTCAGATAGAGAGGGACAGAGACCCAGAAGGACAGACATCCAAAGAGAGGCAAAGTCAGTTTATGAATTATCTAACCCCAGAGGATACAGCCAGGAGAGAAAGCTGGGAGACCATGAGAGCTAGATTTTCCAGAAGAGGAAACTGAGGCAGTGAGAGGGGCAGGGATCTGTCTCAAACCCCCGAGGGGGTTGGGCAGAGTCAGGACTGGAGTCCAGGACTTTGAGATAATCTCTACCATTCTGAGGAATTTTCTTAGGGCACTAGGGACAGATTTTGGGGGAGATTGCCTCTCAGAGGGGAAACTGCCTGATTGTAGGCCTGTGCTGGGGTCTTTCTCTGACTTGAACACATTTAAAATAACCAAAATCTTCATTTTCCCAAGTGAAGGCTTCTCCTCCAACAGTGCTCAGTTTCCAGAATGAAGATTTCTAGTAGGTTAGAGATCGCTGAACTTGTGAGAGGCGTCTCTGGGGAGGGGAGGGATGGTCAAGAGGGACCTTCCCAGGAGCTGGGACCTCCCCAAGTCTCTCTTGGGTCCCGTGAGCCTGTGGTCTCCAAGTTTCACCTGCCCAAAGTGGCTGGCTCTCACGCTCCCCAGTGACTCACCCACCGCAGGGTGTGTATGTGTGGGGGCCCTTCCTGGAATCAGGTGACGTAAGGGTAGGGAGGGGGGGCTGATCTGATGCTGGGGTTCCTCTGTCCTTGTAAACAGAGAGCTGAGGAACCCAGGTCTGCAGCATGCTCTTCAGATTTGAGCCTTGATTGAGCTCAAAGCAGATGAAACTATGACCCAGAGACAAGGTCACTGCCACCTGATGGGGAAGATGGAATAGCCCCCCCCAACACACACACACACACTCGCGCGCGCGCACGCACACGCGCGCACACACACACACACCCCTCAGAGGTTCCCTGGGGTCCAGAAAGAACCTCCCTCCCCAAGACCCTTTCCCACTTCCCAGTCATCCTAGAGGACGACTGGTTTGTCTTTCACTTGGGATCTGAGCTTGTGGGTACATTCCAGCACCCTGACTCATTGCCTGACGACTCTCTGAGCTCCCCATGCTCCACCCCCTAAACCAATGTTGCCTCACCGTGCCTCAGGACTAGGACTCCTGGGTCCAGGCCCAGCTTTAGAGGTAAGGGTGTAAAGGGAGAGTCTATGAACCCCACTGAATTTGTCTCAATCAAAGACCACAGTTTTCAGTCCCTGGCCTAGTGTCCTCAGGGATCCAGCCTTTCTATTCTCCCTCCTGCCTGCTCCCCCTCAAGAAATAGATATTTAATTTCAAAGCTTCTGGCAGTGTGGTATAGAGGAAGAATAAGTAATTGAACATGTAGTTAGGAAGACCTGGGCTGAAACTGTGCCTCACACACTTGTTAGCTGGGTGGACCCAAGCAAGCTGAGGAGCCTCACTAGGCCTGTCTCCTCTGTAAATGGGGGGGGGGGGTTCCACTTGAATTCTAAGACCCTTTCCTGCTCTAAATCTATGATCTCAGAGGCCTAGCTGTTTAACCATCTAGCCTGACTCTTTGGGGTACCAGGTGTCCAGCCTGGCACCTACCCCCTTAGGGCTCAGGTCTCTACCTTTTCAGGGACCACAATTATTTTTCATCCTTAGAATTCCAGTGCTTAGCACTAAGCCTTACATAGAATGGACTTTTTTTTTTAATTTCCTCTAGCATCCCTCCCTTTGAGTCACACAGAAATAGAATCCTCAGGGTCCCAGGCATCTAACCCCCTCAACTCCATCTCCCTAAAGGATCCAGATTTTCACTCCCCTTCCAAATTCTGGACATTTCAGAAGCTATCACACACAACCTTCTGACCTCCTTAAATTCCACAGCCTCTGACAGCTAAGGGTACCAGATCCACCGCCTCTGACACCTCAGGCATCCTTATTACCCACCCACCCCCTGGCCTTTGAGGTCAGATCAGACCTACTCCACCTTTCCAAGATCTCCTGGAATTCCTCCCATTTCTTATTGGACTCTTCAGGGGCCCTCCTCTCACATTCTACCTCCAGCCAGTCCTTTTGTTTTCAGGATAGAGATTTGCATACAGTAAGCACTTAAATGTTTGCTTGAATTGGAGGCATTATCACCTCCTTTGTGGAATCTAGGAGTAACAGCTTTTTGTCTCTAAATTTAGCACAGTGCTAGGCACGCAGCAGATGCTTGTTAACTTGACTTGAGTTGGCTCATGGTTGATTCAGCCACACTGGCTTCCTTTGGCCCAAGGTAGCCTCTGGTTCCTCGGCTAAGAAGTTAGGTGTTTGGAGCTATTAGAGGGAAAATCCCGATTTGGGAAGTCTAGCTGTTGTAGCTGTCGGGAATCCCCTCTGGAATGAGGTTGGGGAAAGGGTGGGACTGGGGGCCAGGGCCCCCGGGGATGGGGAAGGGGGAGGGGAATGGGGCGGAAATTGGTGGATCTAAAAATATCATCAAGCTTCCGGCCCAGAAGGTGGGCAGAGTTTCCAGAACAACAAGGGAGAGGGAGGCCAGGACCGGAAACCACCAAGGCCTGAGAGAATGAGAGATTGAGAAAGAGACAGACAGACAGACAAACAGAGAGACTGAGACGGGCTACAGAAAGGAGAGAGGAAGACAGACAGACAGAAAGAGAGAGGGAAAGAGAGAGTAACGGGTGATTGCAGCCTTCTAAGTGTGTCAGACAACTCCCAAACACAGGAACACACTGGGCACAGGTGACCAACCCATTGTGTCTCACTGTACCTTTCAGATGAAATCGTGTCCATGTCCCTGTGGGATTGTACTAGGAGGAAGAGGGGATGGTTTGTGTGTCAGTCACACAGACCAGGGCCCACTGGTCTGTCTGCCTTTGAGGGGTTCTGATGGTGCCCAGTGACATCTCTGCCTCATGAGTGCATGTGCTCCCCCCACAGGCGGAGGGAAAGGACAAAGTGTCCTAGCCCGGGTGTCTTCCCCACCCCTGGCTAAGGGGCCAGAGGAATTTCCCAGGCCTGGCAGAAGGGTATGGACCCTCCCCTAGGGGCTGGCCACAGCTGGATCCCAGATGTTCCCGGAGAGGCTAGGTCAGGCTACCTCCCCTCCCCACCAGCCAAGGGCACAGCTGCAGGACCCTGCTCCACCCTTCTCACTTCTCCTTTGGGGCTAAAAATACTCTGGACCCTGGTGTCCAGGCCCCACCCCCCCCTTGCACAATCAGCTGATGACGCAGGCAGGCCCAGGGGGAGGAGGAAGATGAGGGCCCTGAAACTCTCCCCCTCCCCGAGCCGCTGATACAGCCTGATTGGGCAGCACGGGGATAAATCTGGAAATAGGGAAGACAAACTCCACAATCCCTGCCTACCGTCCATGGGCCCCAGCCCCCACTTCCCCTTCCCCAGCAGCAGGCAGGGAGGCTTCCCCTAAACTGGGAGATTAGGGTGATTGACTTGGGATTGGCGTCACAGCTCCCTCTTCCTTGCAGTCTCTCCCCAAAGCCTCCTCCTCCGACCCTAGTCTGAGATGCCCTCCCCTTTTCAGGGTCCTGCAATCACAGGACCTAAGAGGAATCTTAGACGTCATTTAGGTCAGGACCCTCTCATTAGACAAGAGAAAACTGAAGCCTGAGGAAGGAAAGTGGAAGTTTGCCCCAGATCACAAAGAAACTGAGTTTCAGGACCATTCTTCGACAATGGGTCTCCTATAGGAATCCTTCTCAGAGACCCCAGCAGAGGTACCTTCTTTCCCCAACAGTGATCCTCTTCTATCTCAGGGACCCAATGGGATCTACGCCCCCCCCTCCATTCCCCATTCAAGTGTCCAGCCCTTTGGCCCCTACTCTAGAAAGCCAGAGTGTTCAGTGTTAGCCCAAGATCGAGGATATGCATTGGGGGCGCCGTAGCCGTGATTATATAACTGGGGGATTTCCTCCCTCCTCCTGGGAGCCTGGGGTGAGTCAGGAGCTGTGTCAGCAAAGCTAGTCTGGCTATGACCCAAGAGCCCTTCCCCTCCCCCTCCCCTTCCTTCCCCTCTCAGGGACCCAAGCTTTCACCCTAGAGCTCCTCCTCACATCCATGTCCCAATTTTCCTGGTGAAAGGAGATGGAAGGGGCAGGGAGAGGAGTAATACAGTCAGAGAGAGCCCCGAGATATTCTCCTGGAAGAGACACCAAGAACCTTAGCTACATCCAGAGATAGAGCCGGCCAGGGGCAGAGAGACAGAGATCCTGCCAGAGACGGCTCTAGGTAGTGACAGAGGTCCGAGCTGGGAGAGAAAGACAAACCCAGTCAGAGTCCTGGGCAGAGAAATCCAGCCAGAGGGAGAGTCTCAGAAAAGAAGACAAGAAGGATTCAGACACAAAAATCCCAGGGCAAGGAAACAGAGACCTAGCCAGAGACAGTCCCAGGCAGAGAAATCCAGCCTGAGGGAGAGTCCCAAGCACAAGATACGAAGGATCCCAGGGTAGGGAAGCAGACCCAGCTAGTGCCAGTCCTAAGCAGAGAGATCCAGCCAGAATTCCACAGTTCTGAGACAGAAAGATCCGGACTGATAGTCCCAAGAAGAGATAGAGACAGTCCCGGGAAAAAAGAGAGAACCAAAGAGGTGTAAGCCCCAAGCAGAGTCAGTCCCAATCAGGCGGATTGAGACGATTCCGGGAAGAGAGACAGGAGGGGGAGGAGAAGGGGGAAAAGTTGGGTGTAACTGACAAGGCTTCCAGGCTCTGTCCCCCCCCCTCCCCTTTTCTCCCCTGGGAGGAGGCGCAGGCGCAGATGCAGACACCAGATGGGTGGGGCCATTCAACAGATGGCCGTCCTCTGGCGCCCCCTGGCCGCCAAGAGGCGGGACTGCTCCCTTCTCCCAGGCAAGGTCAGCCTTCAGCAGGCTGGGCCAAGCACCCCTTCCCCCGCTCCCGGCCCAGGCCCTGGAGATCCAGACGCAGAGAGGAGAACAAGCCGAAACTTAGGAACCTTTAATTAAAAAAGAAAAAGGTCAAACCCCGTCCTTTAAATCCCTGTCCTCCACCCCCACCCCAGCAGCCCAGGCCTCCCCGAAAGCCGTTGGGGGCCGCTGCAGCATGCCGTGGGTGTCCTGGGTCAGAGCCCTCCCGCGGCTGGCAGCTTGCCCGTGACCTTGTTGGAGCACTCCAGCAAGGCGTTGTGGATGTCCTTGGCACAGCCGATCTGGGCTTTGATCACGCTCAGGTACTGCGGGTAGGGCAGGCTCTCTGCCTGCACCGCATCGGGCTTGGTGGCCGTGGGCACCAGCGTCGGGGAGTGCTTGGCGCTGTCATAGCTTTGGGACAAACACTCATAGGCCAGGCGCTGTTCGGAGAGGAGGGGGAGGGAGGAAGAGAGACAAAGACCCTGCCGGTCAGTCTAGCAAACACATTAAGCTCTCCCGGAAAAGAACTGTTACATTCCAAAAGAAAGTCAGTGCCTGGAATGTTGCATTCCAACAGAAGCTCTGGTCTCAGAGGAGCCGGGTACAGGGGGGATGAAGTCCAGAACCAACAACGGGACGCTTAGCTTGGCAGGCTGGGGCAGAGCGGCCCCGGTTGGTCAGAAAAGGGAAATTCGCCCACCCTTTAGGGAGCTACATCTCCCCCCCAGCCCCAACCAAAGCCAGGGCCTAGCCCTGGGACCCTGCTAAGAGCCTCAGGCTGGGCCAGGGGTGAGGCCCTTGAGAACCTAGAGGTTCCCCACCCCTGCCCTGGGCCAATACCCCATTCCCTTAGCTTCCCCCTTTCTTACTCTGTCGGAGCTCTGTTGTGTCTGACTGACTCTTTGTGACCCCATTGGGGGTTTTCTTGGCAGAGATACTGGAGTGGCTCACTTTACAGATGAGGAGACTGAATCAAACAGGGTGAAGTGACCTGCCCAAGGTCACACAGCTAGCCAGTGTCTGAGGCCAGATTTAAACTCTGGAAGAGGCGCTCAGAGCCCTGAGCCCTCTCCATGGTGCCACTCGGCTGTCCTAGCTTCCCTTACCACCTCAGTATTTAGATCTAGAAGCTGTGACTGAAAAAGTGTGACAAAGGCCTAGGGCCCCCACACCATCCCTTGGACTCCTTAGACCAAAAGTCCTTCTGGGTCCATTCCCCAAGGTCTTGTTCCCCTCATTAGAATGTGAGATGATTTTAGCACTGTGCCTTCAGCGGTGGGAACCACTGAGTAAACACCGGAGCTGAATCTTTCAGCTGAATGACCAAAAAGTCCTGTTTTCAAAGCACAAAAAGGGAAGGAAAATGAAGTCATCAGTTTACTACAGTAAAAGGGAAAACACAATTTAAAAAGAAAACCGTGGCTGGAGACACAGGACTCTAACTGCTGTGAAGAGACAAGGACTCAGGCTCAGAGAGGACAGAGGCACCGAACAGCAGGACAAGACAGGCCCCGGCAAAGAATTAAGAGAAACATCGTCCCACGTGTTACAGACTGACTCATGATCAGAGGAAACAGGACGCAAGAGCTCAAAGCGGGAGCCTACTAGTTCAGCCTCTCCATTTTACAGATGGTCAAACTGAGGTACTGCGTGACAAGTGATTTATACCAGGTCGCACTGCTTGCTAGGGGCCACTGGGTGGCGCCATGGTGCATAGAGCGCTGAGCCTGAAGTCAGGATAACTCCTCTTCCCTAGTTCAAATCTGCCCCCAGACACTTACTGTCTGGGTGACGGTCACTTAACTGTTTGCCTCAGTTTCCTCATCTGTAAAATGAGCTGGACAAGGAAACGGCAAACCACTGTAGTATCTTCACCAAAAAGGCCCCAAGAAAGAGTTGAATGGGGCTGAAAAATGACTGAACATACTGCTTCCTAGTCATTGGAGGAGCCAGGGCCGGACTTCAGGCTCTCTTTCTACTGGCAATACTGCAGTGGGATGTTGGCAGAATCACTTAGAGGGCCCACTTTAAGCTACGAACACCGAAGTTCAAGCTCTGCCTCAGACATACAGTGATTGTGTGACCCTGGGTAAGTCATGTAACCTTTTGGGGTCCCAGACTAATTCAAGTCAACTAGAATTTTTTTTTCAAGTCAACTAGAATTTATTAAGCCCTTACTATGAACTTGGCCTTGGAGACACAAAAAATACCCACAACACGGAAACAATTGATGTACGCAGGATGTATATGGGTAAACTGATATAATCAGCAGAGAGAAGGTGCAAACTTTAAAGGAGATCAGGAGGACCTGAGTTCAAATCTGGCTTCTAACACTTGACCCTGGGCAAGTCATTTAGTCCCATTGCCAAAAAGAAAAAGGAAAAGTTCCCTAGAAATCGGGATTTTAGCTGGGACTAGAAGAAGCCAGGGAGCAGACATGAGGATTGAGGGCATTCCTGGCAGAGGGCACAGCCAGAGAAAATGCCTGGAGTCTGGAGATGGAGTGTCTGGTTGGAGGAACAGCAAGGAGGCCAGTGCAGTTCAACCACTGAATTTGTAGAGGGGAGTATAAGGATAATAGAAAGGGCTTTAAAAGCCAAACAGGTTTTTGTTTTGTTTTGTTTTGGTTTCTTTGGCTAGGCAATGGAGTTAAGTGATTTACCCAGGGTCACACAACTAGTAAGTGTTATGTGTCTGAGACTGGATTTGAACTCAGGTCCTCCTGAATCCAGGGCCGTGCTCTATCTAGTTGCCCCCCAAACAGGTTATTTAATCCTGGAAGTCAGAGGGAGCCACTGGAGTTTACTGAATAGAGAGGCGATCTGGTCAGCCCTGAGATTTAGGAAGATCATTTGGGTAGCTGAGTGGAGGATGAACTGCAGAGGGGAGAGACTCAGGCAGACCCCCCAGCAGTTACCGTGCCAATTCAGGCATGAGGGGATGAGGGTCTGCACTAGGAGAGGTGACAGGGGCAGATTCCACAGCACTGACAAGTCTTGGCAATGGATTGGATGTGGGGGGCTGAGATGGAGGGAGCAGTTACTGTGGATAATATGTCTGTTTTGAGTCTGGGTAAATAAGAGAAAGGCGGTGGCCTCGACAGCAATGGCAAGGTATGGAAAGGGGGAGAGTGTGGGAGAGAAGACAATTGTTTAGTCTGGGATGTGGTGAGTTTAAAATGTCTGTGGGACATCCAACAGACAGGTTCTGAAGGGGAGAGAAGTCAGAGCTAGATAAATAGAGTGAGAATCATCTGTGGGTGCAGGGGCGATCACAAAATACTGTGTGTTCTTCACGACTCTACAGATGCAGACAAAGCGCTTGCCATCAGTGATAGAGAGAGTTCCTCAATATCAGTATGGCAAATAGCACTCTAAAACACTGGCAAAGCCCTGAAGAGGGGGGTGCTGCAGACACCGAAGGTTGCTAGGATGCTAGCCCTCCCTCCTTCTGCAGCTGCTCTGGCTGTCTTCTCATCTAGCATCCACCTCAACCCTATTCCCCTCCCTAGTGACCTGCCTCATCCCTGACCTTCCTTGAGGTGTCCTGGTGCCAAGGATTTGGAGTCAGGGGTCCTGGGTTCAAATCCCAGCTGTGTCATTTACTGCATGTGTGATTTAGGGCAAATCACCTCCCCTCTCTGTGCCTCAGTCCCCACATCTGTAAAATGATCTGCATTTGAGGACCTCTAGTGTCCCTTCTACAGCTATGATCCTGTGGTCCTTCCCATCCCAGTCCTGACCTCATCCCATCCTGCCTCAACCCTGGCTTCCCCTTCCCATCCTGTATTACATCTGGTCTCAACTTCTTTTCAGACCAGCTCTATCCTTGGCCCCAGCCTGTGGGCCATCCTATCTGTCCGAAGGCCGGCTCTTTGGGCTCAGACCAGGCCCCTCCTCAGCTTGGGGGGGGTCTCTACAAGGAGGCCCCAGCTGAGTAGGCAGCCCTGGGTTCCCCTCCAGTGTCTTTGCAAGGATGCTCCCTTTTGGGGTCCTCTCCTTTCTTCCTGGATTCTATATTGATCAGGCCTCCCCCTTTCCTAGAATTTCAAAAAGCCTAAACCCTGCTAGGGTCCCAGGAGGAGTACTGCATGCAGAGTATTACCAGGCACAGCTCCAGCTGGTCACAGAGCGCATAGAACTCTTCCAGGCTCTTGTCGAAGCGCTGCAGCCCGCCCTCGCTGCTCTTCCTGCCAGGGAGGGATCACAGCAAGTCGCTGAGAAGGGGAAGCCCCAGCTTCCAGGGACCCGGACCCCCTGCGGAAAAGGGCAGACCCTGTGGCACCCCTGGGGTCCTGGCATGGTCCGGGGGGGGGGGTCATGGCCGGGGGGCGGGTATAGAGGGGGCGGAGCCAATCCCTCAGACACTCACTGGCCATTGTCGATGTTGGTATTCTGCACCAGGTTCTGGGCCGCCACCTTCATCAGGTTCTGGGATGGGATGGAGAAGGGTGGGGTCATGTCCAGCAAACCACGCCCAGAGAGGAACCAACTCTCCCCTTCCCCCCAGTCCACCCCAGGGGGTCAAGCTCTGAAACTCCAGGCACCGCCCTCTTCCCACATCCGGCCAATCATCGACCCTGGGATCCGCCTACTTCCACCTACTCCACAACGCACCGCCCACGGCCTGCGCCCCTCCCCCCCGACGCCGGCCTTACTAGAACTCCCCCAAGTCCCGCATGCGCAGATCCATGGGGGCGGCAGCTCTAGCTTAATTATTTGTCGGCTCCCAGGCTCCGGTACTCTCGTAGTCCCTCCTCCTCCCTTGTTCGCTACCAATCCCAGGGTTAGCGTCCCCAAACATCCAGCCCAGCCTCTTTACCTAGTCCCGCCCCGTCGACAGCCCACCCACCAATTGCCACTTCTGCCTCGTGTCTGGACCCACCTCCCTCGGGGTTGGGGGCCAATCACCTGTAGGCTCTCTTTGAGCTGAGGAATCAGCAGCTTGTAACGCTGCACAGGGTCGAAGTCCTGTTGCTGCTGTTGCAGGAGGCCGCTCTGCGCCGCCTGGATCTGTGAGGCCGCTACAAGCTGTGCCGAGGGAGGCTGCTGCTGCTGCTGCTGCGGCGCCTGAGCCTGCGGAGGCCCCGGAACCGAGGCACCCGCTGATCCCGGGCCGGAAACGCCGGCCGTAGGCGCTTGCGGAGCCTGCGGCGCCGGCTGCGCTGGTGGCGGTGCCGCCATCGTTTCTTCCTTTTATCCCACCGCCTCCGTTGGTCGCAGTGTCGGTCACTCAAGGCGATCGCGGAAGTGCGTCACTTTTAGGCCTCGCTTTGGCTAACCGATCAGTCCCAAGCTTCGAGGTTGCATTTGGCCCACCTCTTTCCCTTCCATTAGTCCAGTTCGTGCACATCCGACCAATCACAAGCTCTTCTTCCTCAAAAACCCGCCTCCTCCCACTGTGGCCAATCCGTCGCCGGTTAAAAAACTAATAAACCGGGACTACGTTTCCCAGAAGGCATTTCGCCCGCGGTCGGTAGTTGGGCCCTGGAGTCCCGCGGGGTCCTCGTTGCCGCCGCCGCCAGGGACGCCGGGAGGCGGAGCGGCCCACAGGGTTGCCTGGAGAGCCGCCTGCGTGGCTCGCGGGCCGGGCCTGGCCCCCTTCGCGACTGGTAGTTGTCCTCGTCGTCGACATGGCGCCTACCATCCAGACCCAGGCCCAGCGGGAAGACGGCCACAGGTGAGAGAGCGCTGTGCTCTCCCCCCCCCACTTTAGGAACGCCCCCCACCCCCGGCCCCGCAGCGGCGGGCCAGCGGTGCGCTACAGACGTCACTGTCCCTCCCCGTGACGTCAATGAACCCCAGGTTCTTGGTGATGTCACTGAGCTCTGACTATCCTGGGCTGCTACCCCTTTCCCCGAATGGGCGCCCCCGGCTTTCTTTCCTTTTCCTCTCTGGAGAGGCTTCTGAAGGCTTAAACACTTTGAGATCTTCCCGCCCAGCTCTTGAGTGCTTCAGTCAAGCTTTGAGATCGCATCTTTCAGGCTCTCTTTGTAAAGGGGCTCCTGGCTTAGGGAGAGGTGCCTGGGGAGGGGAGGGGCAGGCACCCCCGCTTGGGGCAAAAATGACCCGAAACCCTGTGTCCCCCCAGACCCAACTCCCATAGGACTCTGCCGGAGAGGTGAGTGCAGGGATCGGGGGACCCCGGGGCTGACCTGCATGTGTACTGAGGGGGGTGGAGGAGGCGAGACCCCCGGGGCTGGAGAGGAGGGGCTGACCTGCATGTGTACTGGGGGGGAGGAGCGAGACCTCCGGGGCTGACCTGCATGTGTACTGGGGTGGGGCGAGACCCGGGGGGACTGGAGAGGAGGAGCTAACCTGCATCTGTGCCGGCCGGGGTCTGCGGAGAGCCCCTCTATTATGAATTGTTTGCTCTCAGGTCAGGTGTGGTCTGTCGAGTTAAGTACTGTAACAGTCTTCCAGACATCCCTTTTGACCCCAAGTTCATCACATATCCCTTTGACCAGAACAGGTGAGTATGGCCCTGACCCCTTCCCCCCAGAGCTTCCAAGACCCAGAGTCCCTGCACAGAGGTTACTGATCCAGGCCCAGCAAGGGGGTGGAAGTGTCTTATGGGATGAGAGGAGACTAGAGAGACACAGAAGATCCCGGTCTCTTCCTCTTACACCTTCCGCCACCCAGGTTTGTCCAGTATAAGGCAACATCTCTGGAAAAGCAGCACAAACATGATCTGCTCACAGAGCCGGACCTGGGAGTCACTATCGATCTTATTAACCCTGACACCTATCGCATCGACCCTAATGGTGAGGCCCTCACCCTGGCGGGAGATGGAGAAAGACTGGGGGTAGCCTGTGTCAGGCAGACCCCCTCCTCACAATCCAACTTGTTCCAGTTCTCCTAGATCCAGCAGATGAGAAATTACTTGAAGAAGAAATCCAGGCCCCAACTAGCTCCAAAAGGTAATTTTTTTTTGTCGCGGTCAGCTCAGATGTCAAGGGAAGGTGTGGCTGCAATATGGCAGGGAGTCTTGAAACCTATCCTGGCTTCTCCTCCCCCCAGGTCACAGCAGCATGCGAAAGTGGTCCCCTGGATGAGAAAGACAGAATATATCTCTACGGAGTTCAACCGTTATGGCATCTCCAATGAGAAGCCCGAAGTCAAGTAAGTGGTGATGGGCAGGAGGGCTGTGGGTGGGTGGAGGATCCATTCCTCCATTTCACGGGCTCATTCCCTTCTAGGATTGGGGTGTCTGTGAAGCAGCAGTTCACAGAGGAGGAGATCTACAAAGATCGTGACAGCCAGATCACAGCCATTGAGAAGACTTTTGAAGATGCCCAGAAGTCGGTAATGGGGGACAGAGGCAAGGAACTAACTCCAGAGGGGGAGGAGGGGTTTGGAGTCCCATTTTTATGGGTTCTTCTGCTCCTCAGATTTCTCAACACTATAGCAAGCCAAGGGTGACACCAGTGGAGGTGATGCCTGTTTTCCCAGACTTCAAGGTCAGTCTGAGAGAATCTGGAAGGGGGGAAGGAAGAGGAAGGGTCACTTGGCCTTCTGAGCCTCCTTTCCCATCTCTTCCCAGATGTGGATCAATCCCTGTGCCCAAGTGATCTTTGACTCAGACCCAGCCCCCAAGGACACCAGTGGTTCTGCAGCCCTGGAGATGATGTCTCAAGCCATGATCAGGCAAGTTTAGGTAAATGGTGGTGCCTCCCTCCAGGCTATCTGTCCTTCCTTTCCAACATTTCTCCCTCCATCCTCCAGGGGAATGATGGATGAGGAGGGCAACCAGTTTGTGGCCTACTTTCTGCCAGTGGAAGAGACCATGAGGAAGCGTAAGCGTGATCAGGAAGAGGAGATGGACTATGCGCCAGATGATGTGTGAGTGGCAGGGCAGAGGGTCACAGGGCCAGAAGGCAAGAGCTGAGGAAGGGCTGACCACCCTCCAACTATCCCTTCACAGCTATGATTATAAGATTGCAAGGGAGTACAACTGGAACGTGAAGAACAAGGCTAGCAAGGGCTACGAAGAAAACTACTTCTTCATCTTCCGAGAAGGTGACGGGGTCTATTACAACGAGTTGGAAACCAGGTGTGTGTGGTCAACCTCGCCCCCTCCTGCCCATGTACATCCTGTCCTTGGTCTGGCCTCAGGCTGGGTCCCTGATCTTCTCTTTGTCCTCTCTGTAGGGTCCGCCTCAGTAAACGTCGGGCCAAGGCTGGAGTGCAGTCTGGTACCAATGCATTACTGGTGGTCAAACACCGAGACATGAACGAGAAGGAGCTGGAGGCTCAGGTAAAGGCCCAGACATCAAGACGACGATGAGGGAGGAGGGAAGGGGAGGCGAGGAGAGGCGGCAGGAGGCGGCCGCCCGAGAGCTTTTCCTCTGTCCCCACTCTAGGAAGCTCGGAAGGCCCAGCTAGAAAACCATGAGCCAGAGGAGGAGGAGGAAGAGGAGATGGAGCTGGAGAAAGAAGCTCCAGGCTCTGGTAAGTGCTCTGGGAGCCTGCTGGGATACCTGGGCTCCTGCTGTCAGAAATCAGGGAGGGAAGAGCGGCACCAACATCCTCTCCCTCCATCCCTCCCTCAGATGAAGAGCGGGAGAAAGGAAGTGGCAGTGAAAAGGAAGCAAGTGAGGAGGAGGAAGAGGAACGATCAGGAAGTGAGAGTGACAGGGGAGAAGAAGAGAAGGAGAGTGAGAAGAGCGGGAGTGGAGAGGATGAGGCCGAGGAAGAGAGCAGCGAGGACGAGGCCCGGGCAGCCAGAGACAAAGAGGAGATCTTCGGGAGCGACGCAGACTCAGAGGACGATGAGGAAGAGGAGGAGGAGGAGGACGGGGAAAGTCGAGCCAGGGGCAGTGGGGAGGATGAGGATGAAGACAGCGGCAGTGAGGAAGGACGTGGGCGGCGCAGCCCCAGCCCCTCCTTCCTCAGTGCTAGTGACCACTCAGCCCAAGAGGATGGTAGTGAAGGGGGCGCTTCCGACTCCAGCGAGGAGGCCAGCGACAGTGACTGAGGCTCAGTGGCCCACCGCAGGCCATCCAACAGGCCAGGAGGGGCTGGGCCTCTCCAGCTCAGGCACCATTCTCAGGACAAAAGGAAAATACCTATTTTTTTTTTTACACTTTTGCTGTCAATAAAGACAATATGTTTACAAGTTGAAAGCCAGGAATCTGTTACCTTTATCCCAACACAGTTCTCCCTCCCCCAGCCACAGGATGCTGGGACAATTGTCCCAATCCCTTCCTACCTTCCAGACATAGAGGGGGAAAGCCTGGGCGTGAACACCTCCCCCCCCAACACACACAGGGGCCCCATCACAAGAAGCAAGGCGGCCAAAGATTGGGTCAGAGGAATTTTGGGTTTTCATTAAATGTATTATAACAAAGGTCAGAATTTTTTTTTCCAAAATAAGCCCGGACCATTAAACAAGTGAAACTCCAACAAATGTTGTTTTCTCCAACAGAGAGAAAAACTGTGTACAGTTACTCAAAGCTGCTTCTGCCAGTGGGGCTGGGGAAAGATGGGGGTGCTGAAACCATGGAGGGCCCGGGAGGGTAGGGAAGATAGGGGACGGGGGACTGGGTCCTGCCCGTCGGGGTGGGGGCCGCCTGCGTCCCACACACTCTGGTGTCAGGCTGGAGGGTGAGAGAGGATGGTTTTCTCCTCTCTAGGGGGCCCCACCCCCTTCCAATAGGGAGGTCCTCACTGGTAGGCTGAGCCGGCTCATGCCTACCAGAATGATGGGATGGGACCTGGCTGGGGATGGGGGCAGGGGGGTAACCTAGAGTGGACAGGAACCCCTACCCCACAAAACACCATTCTGCTGATTCCAAATCGTGGTGTCCCCTAGGAGAAGGGGGACAGGCAAAGGCACAGCAATATGGAGGGGATGGGGGGAGAGGGGCTTGCATAGGTTGATGAGTGCAAGAGGTACATAAATAAACCCGAGCCCCTCCCCACACCTCCCCCAGCCAGGGTGTGGGGAGGTCCCCCTGGAGATGAGGCCCCTGGGATTCCCTGCCCCCCCTCCCTCCCTGGGCAAAACAGGAGGGCAGGAAGGGGAACAGACCAGGAGCTGAGAAGGGAGAGTGGACCCAGGGGCACCAGACTGGGTGGCTGTTGGGAAGAAGGGAAAGGGGCCAGGAGGTTTGGAGGGGGGGGTTTTTTGGTTTTTTTTTCCCAACATTTTGTTTCTTTAATAACATACTTAATGGTTACCAGCCATAGTCATAACAAAAGTTATTCATAAAATGTATCTAAAAATAACATTTTTTTCCTTTTCTGTGTGAAAAGCTTGAGAGAGTCCCAGCAGAAAGGGGTAG